TGCTGCGTCTGCCTTAGTTTCTGAGCTTGTCGACTTCGCTGCTCGCTGTCGTCTAGACTACGCTGCTAGTCTTGTCGCTGAGTCTGAGTCTGTCTGTCCTCCGTCCGTCGGGGGTGAGTGTGCCCTTGGCACGGACGTCCTTGAGGACAGGCAGGATGAGTTCCAGTGCTTTGCTGCTGCTTCACCTCATCTCGTGTCCATGCTGCTTGCCCCTGAGGGAGACCCGGATGCACCAGACATCCCGACTACGCGTTCTTACGCGGAGGCGATAGAGGGTCCCTACTCCTCTCAGTGGCAGGCAGCCATGGACGCAGAGATGGCTTCCTGGAAGTCCACAGGCACCTACGTCGACGAGGTTCCCCCACCTGGGGCGAACATCGTCAGCAGCATGTGGATTTTCAGGGTGAAGCGGCCGCCGGGTTCTCCGCCTGTCTTCAAGGCGCGTTACGTGGCTCGAGGCTTTAGTCAGCGGCAGGGAGTTGACTACTTTCAGACCTTCTCTCCCACCCCGAAGATGACCACTCTTCGGGTACTGCTGCACATAGCTGCTCAGCGCGACTACGAGCTTCACTCTCTTGACTTCAGCACTGCTTTCCTACAGGGCAGCCTGCACGAGGAGATCTGGCTGCGCCGCCCACCTGGCTTCACTGGGTCTTTTCCTCCTGGCACCCAGTGGAGCCTCCGGCGGCCAGTCTACGGTCTCCGCCAGGCACCTCGTGAGTGGCACGACATACTGAGGACTACACTTGCGGCTCTTGGGTTTGCTCCTTCTACTGCCGACCCGTCGCTGTTTCTGCGCACCGACACCTCTTTGCCGCCGTTCTACATCCTCGTGTACGTCGACGACTTGGTCTTTGCCACAGCTGACACTGCTGGACTCGCCCACGTGAAGTCCGAGCTGCAGAAGAGACACACGTGCACAGACCTGGGTGAACTGCGTAGCTACCTTGGCTTGCAGATCACCCGGGACAGAGCACAGCGCACCATTACCCTGACTCAGTCACACATGGTGCAGCAGGTCCTTCAGCGCTTCGGCTTCACGTACTCCTCCCCTCAGGCCACTCCTCTGTCTACTCGCCACTCGCTCTCACCTCTGCCTTCGGATGAGTCCGTAGAGCCGAGTGGCCCGTACCCAGAGCTTGTTGGCTGCCTCATGTACCTGATGACCTGCACACGACCTGACCTTGCATACCCTCTTAGCATTCTGGCACGCTATGTTGCTCCTGGGAGACACCTCCCTGAGCACATGGCTGCAGCGAAGAGGGTGTTGCGCTACTTGTGCAGTACGTCGGGCATGGGGCTAGTGCTTGGAGGGCGGAGTCCAGTGGTCCTCACTGGTCACGCAGACGCGTCTTGGGTTGACGACTTGGCTACGCAGCGGTCGTCACAGGGTTACACCTTCAGCCTTGGTTCCGGTTCTGTTTCGTGGCGGTCTACCCGCTCCTCTTCTGTTCTCAGCTCCAGCTGTGAGGCTGAGATCTACGCAGGGGCCATGGCTGCACAGGAGTTACGCTGGCTCACCTACCCGCTGACTGACCTTGGAGAGCCGCCTCGTTCTCCTCCGGTTCTGTACGTAGACAACAAGGCCATGCTGGCCTTGTGTCGGGAGCACAGACTGGAGCACAGAACGAAGCACATTGCTCTTCGCTACTTCCTTGCTCGTGAGCTGCAGCAGCGTGGTCAGCTGCGACTTGCTTACGTGGCCTCTCAGGCCAACACTGCTGATATCTTCACCAAGGCACTCGCGCCTTGTGATCATCAGCGCTTCTGTACTCTGTTAGGTCTTGTACCTACTTTGCCTCACTTGCTCACTTCTTGACCTTGCCTGACTGTGACTTATATATACTTGCACTTGCATGTTTAGCTTTATATATATACCTGCATGTGAACTGGCCTTGTGGCCCTTGAACTTGTGCTCAGAATGTGTGGTGACGTTGTGATCCACCCTGAGCTTGCTGTGCTTTGCTTGACTGGTCTTGTGACCCCTTGTTCTCCCCCACTTTGCCTATGGGGGTGTGTCAAACTTAGTGGGGTATAGTCTTTCTAGGCTGTAGTGGGGTAGACAGTATGGGGTACAGTTCTCTAGGGTTTCATATTTGTACCCAACTCATTTTCTAGTTCATCATTCATTCCTCATTTCTTCACACTGGGTGCTCGTCGACCGTGCAGCAGTGAAGGGAAGAAGGATCCTCTCCGGCAAGTGGGTCTTCCGTGTGAAAACCGCATCTGACGGAATGATTGAACGATTTAAGGCGCGCTGGGTAGTGCGTGGCTACGACCAGAGGCACGGGATTGACTTCGATCAAACGTTTGCCCCGGTGAGTCGTCACACCTCCGTCAGAATTCTCCTCGCCATTCCTGCCGCACGACATCTGCCGCTCCGACAAATCGACGTGAAGAATGCATTACTGTACGCGTTAGTAGACGCTGTGATCTACGTGGAGCAACCGCACAGTTACGGCGAAGGGGACTCGCTGGTTTGCCAGCTGCGGAAATCCCTTAACGGGATCAAACAGGCACCAAGTCTCTGGCAACAGTACCTGCACAACATTCTGCTCGAAATTGGGTTCAAGCAGCTGCCTCACGACCCCGGGATGTACCGCCGCGATTTCCGCGGCGAATACATCCTGCTCACGGTCTACGTCGACGACCTCTTTTACACAGGGTCAAGCCCCGAGTTACTCGAGCAGTTCGAGAAAAACCTCACGGGGCGCGTCGACATCACCTGCAACCACGACGTGAAGCAGTTCCTCGGCCTCAACATCACCTACTCACCGGAAGCTATTCATCTCTCAGCAGCCAAGTACGTAGAGGAACTTGGCAAGCGGTTCAACATTGCACCTGCACCACTCTCCACCCCTTACCGCACTCCAGGACCCAACCACAAGCCTGACAACAAAGCCTTATCCCCAGCTGGGCTTCAGACTTACTAGCATCAACTGAGTTGCCTGCTTTTCGCATTTGTCACCTGCAGGCCAGATCTCTCGTACATCGCAAGTCAGTTGGCTCAATACTCACGCAAACCAACGTCTGAGAGTCTCTCGGATCTTCATCGAGCACTCTCATTCTTTATTTCCACGCCCAATGTTGGGCTCTTCTACTCCACCATCCCAACCGCATCCTTCAATCTCATCGGCTACGTGGACGCTGGTCATGCAGCTGATCCCGACAATCGACGGTCCAGGACAGAATTCCTCTTTCGCCTCGAGCCCAGCGGCCCCATCTCCGGGAATTCACAGAAGCAGGAGCTGGTTGCCCTGTCATCGGCAGAAGCGGAATTCATCGCAGCAACAGCAGCTGTTCGCAAAGGTCTCTACCTTTAGGAACTGTTGCAGGAGGCGAAAATTCCGGCCTCGGCGAACTTTCGCCTGCACTGCGACAACCAAAGCTCGACCAGAATCGCGAACAAACCTGGCTTCGTCAACCACACCAAGCACATCGCGCTACGGTACTTCTTCGTCAAGGACGAAGTTGACAAGGGCAAGGTTGACCTAACCTACTGCCCGACGGGTGACATGGCAGCAGATTTCCTCACGAAGAAACTGCCACGTCAACAATACCAGCACTGCTCCGAACTCAGCGGAGTAGTCAAGTGGGTCAAGACCTGTTACGGCCAGGAGTAAAGGGGGGTGTTACGAATAGTAATTATTGAATTATCACTGTGCACTCCTAACCGCAGCAAGCAAAGCATGCACTACCGAGGTTGAAGTCGAAAGGGCGGAAGCAATGCGAAGGGTCGTACGGTTACGAAAGCATCTGGACCGTCGGGCAGACAGCATCAGGCACCAGCGGTGGCGAGGATTTTGCCCAAAATCCGTGCGAGGATGTTTTTTCCTTACACGCGCACTCTCTTTTACAACTCATAACAACAATGCTCCAAAATCCGTGCTTACAGATTGGTTGACAATTGGTCTGACACCACCCCAAATTTGTAACCCCGCAAATTGTGCAATTTGTCAGAATTCACGAGATTCGGACGCGACTTGGTTGTATGTCAGACCTCACCGAGCTTCGGACGCGACTTGGTTGTACGGCCCAATCAGGTCAAAGCTGGCTCCGATTTCGCGGAATCACAATCTTCCAGAACCTGTTTCGGATCTCAACAACACCCCCCCCACCCCCCCAGCCGTCTGCTATGCTCAATTTCACGATTTTCCGCGCTCTTCCTACAGATGTTTTCAATAAACTACAGCTCGTCTGCCAGCTCGCCGTCTGTAGTCTATTGAACAGATCTTGCTCGTTCCTATCTGACTTCTACCGCTCTACTAGTACTGGTACCGTTGTGGCTATCACAAGGGGCAAACCTCTGGCAGAAGCAGCCTTTTTCTTGCCCACTGGGGGGGGCAAACCTGGCAGGTTCCTCACTCCACCTTCCACGATAGTCCTCCTCGCCCTTCCTCAGCCTTTTCTGGGAGTCCAACTCACCCTTGCCAAGGGTGGTGCTACCACTACTGCCAGCAGTGCTGCCTCAGTTACAGGCTGTGCAGTCCGGTTATCCTTCCTCACCGACACTGTTAGCAAAGGATCTGTAGTAATCAATTAATTGGCCAACGTCGGCTCGAATGGCAACCGCCCTGGCCTCAATGCGGCGGAGCAGCGCCATGCGGCGATCCACCCTCGCCGCCTGCCCCAGCTCGCCTCCAGCGGCGGCGGCAAGCCTCGAGGGAATGGCGCGAGAGCGGCGGGTGGCTCTCGCATGCTGCCTCGTCACCCTTCAACTCGTCTCGACCCTCGCCGTGGTCCACGCTCAGCCGCTCCAGGCCTCGCAAGGTAGCGCCGCTCAGGGCGCCTGCGATTCATCATGATGGCGCGAGGACTAGCAACGGCCGCATCGGCCTTTGCATAACAACTTGCTTGCCATGTAACGCGCTCTTCCCCCTCCGACTCCGAGTCGGACACACCAGCACCGCCACGACTCGCCGTTTCCTCCTCACCTCCGCCACCCCCCAACCCTTTTTCCACCCTTCTCCCCACTCCTTCCCCCCTCCACCAACCCGCAGTGCAATTCCTGCGGGACTGCCAGACGGCGTGGGGTCAGACGTTGCCTGGGTGGGGCGGCTCCAATCCTGACTGCAGCAGTGCACAGGGCGTCACATGCGACAGCACCGGGATGATCAGTGCGATGTGAGCTTCGACCTGCACTCGTGATTCGCGTGCAGGGCTTGCACGAAGCACTCCACCGGTTCGGACTTGGGACGAACCGACTTCTTCCTTTTTTGCTCGAAGGGGCGAGCCGCGACTCGTCCCTTTTGCCATCTCTAGTAGTGTTGGCCACTCTGAGGCCATTTCAGTTCAGTGCCATCTCTAAGGCCTTACCGCTCTTTCAAGCGCCTCTTGATGACTAATGGTATCCACTGCGGGGTACCATCTTGCATGTGCGTGGAATGTTTGGGTGCATGGACGCAGGAGACTATCGAGCCTCAATCTGGGAGGGTCCATTCCGGACTCCATCAGCAACCTCAAAAAGATCTCTTCGCTGTACGTCCCCATTCGTTTGGCACGCGAAGCTGTGGTGCTTCAGTTGAGTCCAGAGCCTGCGATTCGATTCTCTGCTAGACTCAGATTCTGGGCGGTTGCCAATCTTTTGCTCATTCAGATTTGCATAACCTCCTACCTACTTCTTGGTCGTTTCTATGCAAGCTTAAGCTCCTTGTATGACACGCATTGGGGCAGACGAAGGGTTTCTCTCTCTTCACTTCTCCTGCCCCTGGCTATCCCCTGCCATTGTCTACACACATTCCACTGGCAGTGTCCATTGCGCTGCCTTCCATGCTTCTTTTTCTTATTTAGGATATCACCTACCCTCGTATCTACTTCTTGTCGTTTGTATGCAAACATAACTCCTGGTATGAACCGCATGTTCGTGTATTTTGTTGCGCAGAATACTTAGTAGAAATCAGCTCAGTGGTTCAATCCCTGCTGCGATCGGCAACCTTGCGAACCTGAGTTACTTGTAAGGCCTCTCTGCTGTGATGCATGTTGCATTCTCTGCCCGTCGTCGCAATTCTTTCTCCTCTTGCTTCTTCTATCGCTACTCTTCACTGGACCACTCCAGTTAACCCTCCGTCTAGGCTATTGCCGACTTAAAATTTGAGGATGTGGAATGAACACAGCTTCTGTGCCTGCAGACATGCACATACGGCAAACCGAGTCGGACACCATTCTTGCTTAGGCATGAGCAAAGCAAATAACAGAGCCGCTCTGTTACTAGATTCATCAGACCGGTTTGGTACCGGACCGAACCAGTTCGAAGCGAACCGGCCCGGGTTCGGCCGGTTCGAGGTTCGGTTTTAAAGCCATAGAACCAAACTGGTTCGTTTCAAACCGGAGCCGGTTCGAGGTGAACCGAACCGGTTCGGTTCGATGGCTACAGGGGGAGGATATTGTACAAGAGCACATTTGTTACACAATAAGCAGATCCGTGAATGTGACTCTGGGAAACCCGTTAAGGTAGGGAAAGGGGCGTAATAGGAGAAGTTTGGAGCTCGAAATGAGCTCCAAGTTTCTGTTTTGTTTCACTAAGAACGCGGCCGTGTCGGTTCGCCGCGTTGGACCAAGGTCGATTCGGTTCAATGCGGCTTGTTAGAACCTGTTTGGACAGTTTCGAACCGGCAGCTCAAAATAGGACCATGGTTTGATTCGAAATGGTCCGAACTGAACCAAACCGCAGGTTTTAATCCCTGCCTCACTCATGCCGACTCTAGCCTAATCTAGCTCACCCTAATGTGCCAGTTATGAAGGAAGAGTGATGCCACAGTGCTGTCTTGAGCCGCGGGTTCCAATCCCTGTAACGCTCACTCACCTTCTGGGAGATTGGCAATCAAACAGACCTACTTCAAGTGTATTGCGGCGTTTTTGCTCCATTCTCCCCTCGTTTCATGCTCGTCCCTGTTCCTACCTATTACCTCTTGTCCACGTTTTTGCTTCTTCATCGTTGTTTCTCGTACAAGTTCAGGGGGGCCAAAACTATATCATTTCTTCGCCTCTCTCCTCCATCTTCCATGCTCTCTTCCTCGATCCCATTCTATCTGTGGATGATAAGCGTTGGGGCAGGCAAATATTTTACCTCTCTTCACTACTCCTGCGCCCAGCTATCCCGTGCCATTGTCTGCACACATTCCACTGGCAACGTCCACTGCGCTGCCTTCATTGCTTGTTTCCATGCAAACTTAAGCTTTTTGTGTTTTGAAGTTACTTACCCCACGACGCAATCCCCGCTCAAATCGGCAACTTACCAACCTTTTTCGGGGGTTTAAGGCCTCTCTCCTCCGCATCCTCTTTTCTTTCTCGTTCCTTTTCATCACTATTATCCAATATTCACCTTCCTATGTTTTGTTTTCGATACATCCCATTGTGTTGTTCCACCTACTCTCTCCTCCTGTCCCTTCCAGTCCTTCCTCCTCAAACCTGTGTGTTCTTCTCTACTCCCTCTGTTCCTCTGTTCATGCCTTCAGTGTCCTCATGATCTCTCGTTTTATCCTCACTCCTTCCTTTTCCTATTGTCCCTATCTCGTCTCCGCCTCTCTCCTCCTTTCTCCCATGCAAATTTTTTCCCCACGCCCATTTTATGAGGTGATAACACGCCTTTGGGCAGGAGAGAGCACCTGTTTCCTCACTTCTCCCGCCCCCTGCCTATCCGCAACCATTGCCTGCACACTTCCCAGGGACAATGTCCATCGCACTGCCTTCATGCTTTTGTTGTATTTTCTGGATTTCGCATAACCTCCTATCTGCTGCTCGTTTCCATGCAAACTCGAGGTCCCTGTATCTACCTTCCCTACCACATGCCCATCCGTGTTTATCGTCGCAGGGATGGTTCGTGGAATCAGTTCAGTGGCTCAATCCCGACTGAAATTGGCAACCTTACAAACCTGCAAGGCTTGTAAGATCCTTTCCTTGTTTTGCTCTCCCTTCTGTGCTTCTCCTCTCGCAAATAACCAAACCGATCTGTTACTAGATTCATTAGACCGGTTTGGTACTGAAACGAACCAGTTCGAAGCGAACCGGCCCGGGTTCGGCTGGTTGGAGGTTCGGTTTTAGAGCCATAGAACCAAACTTGTTCGGTTCAAACCGGAGCCAGTTCGTTGACTATAGGAGATTTTGAACAAGGGAGGCTTTGTTCCACAAGAACTCCTAACACTAATGTTTAAGCTTAGCGGATCCGTGAATGTGACAGTAGGAAACCCGTTAAGTTATGGAATGGGGCGTACTAAGAGATAGGTAGAGCTCGAAATGAGCCCCAAGCTATTTCTCTTTATTTTATTTTGTGTTTTTCACCTATAACGTGGTTGCGCGTGGGTTCGCCGCGTTGAACTGGGAAGAGTGATGCCACACTGCCAAACGAATATGAACAGTACAATATTGATCTGGATGACTCGTCACCGTATGGCTTTCTGTTTTATTAACATGATTGGATTAGATTTCACGTGTTAGTCATCAGAGTCAGATACGGAAGGTGCACGTGCAGCTCTTTCAGGTCCGCGGTTAGAGTGACTCTGTTTCAATGATCTGATCGTGTAATTCAGTCCGAATCCCGTTTCAAGCACCAGTCACGGTCTAGCTGCTACTGCCTTAGCAGCCTGCGTGAGGTTTATTCTGGTGCAGTCTTATTTTCTAGCTTACTCTAGCTCACCCTCATGTCATGTCCCACATATTAAGGAAGAGTGATGCCACACTGCTGTGTAGAGCCGCACGGGTTCTAATCCCTGCTGCACTCACTCACCTTTTGGGAGATTGGCAATTGAACAAACCTTCTTCGAGTGTAAGGCGGCATCTCTTCTTGTTTCCATGCAAACTTAAGCTCCCTGTATGTACTGCACATTCATGTTTATTTTCCCGCAGAATTCTTAGTCGCAACTACCTCACCAACTCAATCCCCGCTGCAATTGGCAACCTTACCAGCCTTGCTCAACTGTAAGCCCTCTCTGTTCGATGTCCTCTCATTGTGCTGTTCCTCCTTTCATATTCTCACCTCCCGTCCCTTCCAGTTCTACCGCAACTTGTGCGTTATTCTCTACTCCCTCTCTTCCTCTGTTCATGCCTTCTCTGTCCTCATGATATCTCATGTCATCCTCACTCCTTCCTTTTCCTTTTGTCCCTATCTCGTCTCCACCTCTCTCCTCCCCTCTCCCATGCACTCTTCCCCACGCCCATTTGATTCGTGGATGACACGCCTTTGGGCAGGAGAGAGCACCTGTTTCCTCACTCCCTCTGGCCCCGTCTATCCCCAGCCATTGTCTTCACACGTCTTAAGGACAATGCTCATCACGCTTCCTCCATGCTTATGCTGCTTATTCTTTATTTCGCATGAGCTCTTATTCCCTGCTCTTTGTGATGCAAACTTGAGCTACCTGTGGTCATCGCGTGACCACCTTATGAGCCGACGAGTCAAAGGCTCGGCGATACGAACGTCGAGTATCATTCGTCTCACTGTTTGCTCGCGTCTATGCGAAATGCCAAGTATGCACGGAGCTCTAACGACGAAATGATGCATCGAATCGAGTATTTTTTTACTCGTAGAGTAAAAAGGGCTTCTAACAGGATACAAATATCCGGTTCTATTTACTCAACCGATTTTACTCGACTCGCTTGCTCATGTTTACCGCTGTAGTTGGCAACACAGCCGAGTTACTTGTTTGTCCTCTCCACTGTGTTGCAAGTCATGAGCAACAGGCGAACTCAAAAGTGTTTGAGACGAACACTTCTGAACACTTTCTCCAAACTGTGGCGTTCGACGTTTGCCCATGGGGGCGAACAGTTTAGTGCTAACCCCGAACACGAATGTGTTCTGTTCGTGCATCTCTCCCCCCCCCCCTCCACAGCCCATCCCCTCCCCCTCCAGAGCCCCCCAATTCCCCTCGATAGCCCCTCCAGGTCCTCCTCCTCGAGCCCCTCCCCCTCCAGTGCCGTTGCACTTCATGCTCGACCTGGACATGTCCCAACATTCGAGCATGTTTGATGTTCCACGTGCCTCCAAAACCACATTTAAACACTCGAACATGTTCGCCCCGAGCACTATGTTCGACCGAACATTTTGACCGTTTGAGTCGAACCGAACAGGGGTTCGCCCAATTGCTCATATCTAGTAGTTGCAAGCTGCATTCACTTCGTTCCTTCAAATATAATAGTTACTCTGACAAGGTCAACGTTATGACTTCCCTTGTCTTGCAAGACTTGTATTAGTCCTTCACGAGGGCGGTACGTGACAGGCCTTGCCTGGGCCCGTTGATGATGTGCACGCGCACGTCACTTTACGTAGGTACATTCAAACTCAAATCCGGTTCGTCTTTTAAGGGTATAAGGATGAACCGGTTCGGTTCGGTACCCTGCTCATCTCTAGCCTCTAATCTAGGCTTGATCAACCGACCCGGGCGGGTCAGGTGGATCCGATCAGACACGGGGTCGGGCTGGTCTGAAACTGACTTGTGACGCCTAGCCAAGCCCATCCCATCAGGGGAATAAAACTTCCCTCCTCATTTTCCCATTCTTCCGTCAACTCTCTGGCCACTGCCTGCGCACACATCCCACAGGCAACGTCCATTGCATCACCTTCATGCCCGAGCCTGTTGATGATGTGCACGTGCACGTCACGTTACGTTCGTCTTTTAAAACTGGCGTCCCAAACAGCACAAAACTGCCTCAACCTTCCTAACTTTTGATTGGGTGTGACCCAGTAGATACTGACCCACTTCGCAAGTTGTCGGGACAAATTTCGCCACGCGAAATTATTGTACCCGCGAGAACAATAGCAGTGACGATTTCGCGAGTAGATTTGATGCACATCCGAAACTGTTACGAACTGATTCGTTCGTTGCAGTCAAGATCTGGTTACACACGCGAGGTACTCAGGCTCTGCGATCCACAACCAGAAATCTCGACAACACCCTGATTCGCGCGCCACTCACGTCCCTTCGCCCCAACCAACCTTCCTAACTTAGAAACTCTTGAATGAACCAGTTCGTCTTTTGAGGGTATAAGAATGAACTGGTTCGGTTCGGTACCCTGCTCATCTCGAGCCTCTAATCTAGGCTTTATCAACCGACCTGGGCGGGTCGGGTCGATCCGATCAGACACCGGGTCGGGCTGGTCTGAAACTGACTTGTGACAGGCCTTGCCAAGCCCGTCCCATCAGGGGAATAAAACCTCCCTCCTCACTTTCCCTTCCTCCCGTTAACTCCCTGGCCACTGCCTGCGCACACATCCCACGGACGACGTCCATTGCATCGCCTTAATGCTGATGCTCCTTCTTTCAGATTTCTGTAATGCTCGTTTCCATGCCAACTTGAGCTCCCTCCATCTACCCTCATACCCGTGCCCATGCGTGTTTATCGTTGCAGACATCTTTATTCCGTTCGGCTCACTGGTTCTCTCCCAGCTACAATCGGGAACCTTACAAACCTGACCGACCTGTAAGGCCTCCTGCTAGGCCTGTCCATGGCTGTGCTCCCGCCTCTGCGCCCCTCTTCTCCACCCTTCCTTCACGTAGTTTTAACATGTTCTTCACTGAAACCGTGCCTCCTTGATTTCGTGCTGTTTTTATGTCTTTCCTTGAACCTCGCCTCTTGTTGCATCTTCTCTTCTTATCTTCACGTAATCAGTTGAATGACTTACTCTCTCTGTCCACGATATTGTAGGCTCATTGAAAGCATTGGAGAAAGTGTATGGCGTTTTGCTTATCCTCTTCTTTGCTCAATGCATTCTGGCTCGCAGGTGGTCTCCTCTGCTCTCTATTCTCTTCTCTCCACTCCACTTGCTCCTCATTTCTTGCTCGTTCCATGGTTTTCCCTCTTCTTTTTGTCGTTTGTTCATACGTCCCCTTGTCTTGCTCCTCCATTCCTACTATCACCTTCTGTCCTTAACAGCCCGTCGTTTGTCCAAAGCGTTCGCAGTCTTCGTTTCCTCTTTCTCTTGATTGATACCTTCTCGTTCCTTATGGTCTCGCAATTCATCCTTACGACTACTTCCTTCTCCTGTTCTCCTTCTCCTGACCCCATCTATCCCCTGCCTTTGACTGCACACATCCCAATGACAATGCCTCTCACACTCACTTCATGCTTCTGCTCATTCTTCCAGATCTCGCATAACCTCCTATTTGTTGCTCCTTTCCTCCAACTATCTGCCTCCCCACAATTTAATCCGTGTTTATCGTCGCAGGAATCTTTGGGGAAGTGGTGTTAGCGGAACAATTCCTCGCGAGATTGGCATGCTCACTAAACTAGTCGTCCTGTACGTCAATGAGCACGGCTTCCCACAGCAAGTCATGACTAATCACATCATATGGCGAACCGAGTCAGGCACCACTCTGGCTAACCCTCATGTCCGGTTGATGAGGGAGAGTGATGCCACACTGCTGGGCTCACATTGGCAATCCTTCTTCGAGTGAAAGGCGTTGCTGCTTCCAAGCTCTAGTCCGTTTTTTTCTGTTTCTTCTCTATTATCTTCATACCTCTGACGTCGTTTCCCCCCAAAAGTACCGTAAGGATCAAACCATGGAAAAAAGCAATCGCGTTATTTCGCCACCTGACATCCAGTCCTTTCGATATAGAACCTTTGCAATTTTGTTTTGCCTTTTCGTCCTCTATTCATGCCTTTTTTCTCCTCATGGTCACTCATTTCAACCCCACTCCTTTCTATTAGTGTTTTTCTCCTGTATCCTATTTCCTTTCTCGTCCCTCTTCAACACTCTTATCCATTCATTCTCTTCCTCCCGATTTTTTCGATACATCCCATCCTGTTGTTCCTACTTTCCTACTCTCTTCTCCCACCCCTTCCAGTCCTCCCTCGTCAAACCTTTGTGTTCTTTTCTACTCCCTCGTCAAACCTTTGTGTTTTTTTCTACTCCCTCTTTTCATACCTTCTCTGTCCTCATGATCTCTCGTTTCGTCCTCACTCTGTCCACTTCCAATTGTATCTATCTGCCTTCCCTACCACATGCCCATCCGTGTTTATCGTCGCAGAGATGTTTCATGGAATCAGCTCAGTGGCTCAATCCCGACTGAAATTGGCAACCTTACAAACCTGCAAGGCTTGTAAGGCCCTTTCCTTGTTTTCCTCTCCCTTCTGTGCTTCTCCTCTCGACCGTTTCTCCACCTCTTGATGCTAGTCCTGACCCTCGCCTTTCTGTTGAAAAGGGAGAGTGGCGCTTCAGTTGAGTCCACAGCCCTGCTGGACTCAGATTCTGGGCGGTTGCCAATCTTTTGCTCATTCAGATTTGCATAACCTCCTACCTACTGCTTGGTCGTTTCTATGCAAAAATAAGCTCCTTGTATGACACGCCTTGGGGCTGACGAAGGGTTTTTCTCTCTCTTTACTTCTCCTGCCCACGGCTATCCCATGCCATTGTCTGCACACATTCCACTGGCAATGTCCATTGCGCTGCCTTCCATGCTTCTCTTTCTCTTTTTTAGGATATCACATACCCTCGTATCTACGGCTTGTCATTGCCGTGCAACCGTAAGCTCCTTGTACCGCATGCTCGTGTTTTTTGGTCCCGCAGAAGGCTTCAAGGAAATTATAAAGTCAGTGGTTCAATCCCTGCTGCGATCGGCAACCTTGCGAACCTGACTTACTTGTAAGGCCTCTCTGCTGTGTTGCATGCTGCATTCTCTGCCCCTCGTCGCAATTCTTTCTCCTCTTGCTTCTTCTATTGCCACTCTTCGCCGGACCACTCCAGTTAACCCTCCGTCTAGGCTATTGCCGACTTAAAATTGGAGGATGTGGAATGAACACAGCTGCAGTGCCTGCAGACATGCACATACGGCAAACCGAGTCGGACACCATTCTTGCTTAGGCATGAGCAAAGCAAATAACAGAACCAATCTGTTACTAGATTCATCAGACCGGTTTGGTACCGAACCGAACCAGTTCGAAGCGAATTGGCCCAGGTTCGGCCGGTTCGAGGTTTGGTTTTAGAGCCATGGAACCAAACTGGTTTGGTTCAAACCGGAGCCGGTTCGAGGTGAACCGAACCGGTTCGGTTCGATGATTACATGGGGGAGATATTGTACAAGGGCAGATTTGTTACACAATAATCAGATCCGTGAATGTGACTGTGGGAAGCCCGTTAAGGTAGGAAAGGGGCGTAATTGGAGAAAGCTGGAGCTCGAAATGTGCTCCAAGTTTCTGTTTTGTTTCACTGAGAACACGGCCGCGTCGGTTCGCCGCGTTGAACCAAGCTCGATTCATTTCGAACCGCTTCGGTCCAATGCGTCTTGTAGGAAAAAACGAACCGGTCGAACTGTTATAACCTGTTTGGACCGTTTAGAACCGGCAGCCCAAAATAGGACCCTGGTTTGATTCGAAATGGTCCGAACTGAACCAAACTGCAGGTTTTGATCCCTGCCTCACTCATGCTTACTCTAGCCTAATCTAGCTCACCCTAATGTGCCAGTTATGAAGGAAAAGTGATGCCGCAGTGCTGTCTTGAGCCGCGGGTTCCAATCCCTACAACGCTCACTCACCTTCTGGGAGATTGGCAATCAAACAAACCTTCTTCAAGTGTATTGCGGCGTTTTTGCTCCATTCTCCCCTCGTTTCATGCTCGTCCCTGTTCCTACCTTTCACCTCTTGTCCACGTTTTTGCTTCTTCATAGTTTTTTCTCCTACAGGTTCAGGGGGGCCCAAAACTATATATTTTTTTCGCCTCTCTCCTCCCATATTCCATGCTCTCTTCCTCGATCCCATTCTATCTGTGGATGATATGCGTTGGGGCAGGCAAATATTTTACCTCTCTTCACTACTCCTCCTGCCCCCAGCTATCCCGTGCCATTGTCTGCACACATTCCACTGGCAACGTCCACTGCGCTGCCTTCATTGCTCGTTTCCATGCAAACTTACGTTTTTTGTGTTTTGAAGTTACTTACCCCCCGACTCAATCCACTCTCGAATCGGCAACTTACCAACCGTCTGAGTTTAAGGCCTCTCTCCACCGTATCCTCTTTTCTTTCTCGTACCTTTTCATCACTAATATCCAATATTTACCTTCCTATTGTCCTCACTCCTTCCTTTTCCTATTGTCCCTATCTCGTCTCCGCCTCTCTCCTCCTTTCTCCCATGCAATTTTTTTCCCCACGCCCATTTTATGAGGTGATAACACGCCTTTTGGCAGGAGAGAGCACCTGTTTCCTCACTTCTCCAGCCCCCCACCTATCCGCAACCATTGCCTGCACACATCCCAGGGACAATGTCCATCGCACTGCCTTCATGCTTTTGTTGCCTTTTCTTGATTTCGCATAACCTCCTATCTGCTGCTCGTTTCCATGCAAACTCGAGGTCCCTGTATCTACCTTCCCTACCACATGCCCATCCGTGTTTATCGTCGCAGGGATGGTTCGTGGAATCAGCTCAGTGGCTCAATCCCGACTGAAGTTGGCAACCTTACAAACCTGCAAGGCTTGTAAGGCCCTTTCCTTGTTTTGCTCTCCCTTCTATGCTTCTCCTCTCCACCGTTTCTCCACCTCTTGATGCTAGTCCTGACCCTTGCCTTTCTGTTGAAAAGGGAGAGTGGTGCTTCAGTTGAGTCCAGAGCCTGCGATTCGATTCCCTGCTGGACTCAGATTCTGGGCAGTTGCCAATCATTTGCTCATTCAGATTTGCATAACCTCCTACCTACTGCTTGGTCGTTTCTATGCAAAATTAAGCTCCTTGTATGACACTCCTAGGGGCAGACGAAGGGTTTCTCTCTCTTCACTTCTCCTTCCCCCGGATATTCCCTGCCATTGTCTGCACACACTCAACTGGCAATATCCACTGCACTGCGCTGTCTTCCAAGTTTCGTTTCCATGCAAACATAACTTCCTTGTATGTACCTCATGTTCGTGAATTTTGTCCCGCAGATTACTTCATAGGAATCAGCTCAGTGGTTCAATTCCTGCTGCGATTGGCAACCTTGCGAAGCTGACTATCTTGTAAGACCTCTCTGCTGTGATGCATGCTGCATTCTCTGCCCCTCGTCCCACTCTTTCTCCTCTTGCTTCTTCTATTGCTACTCTTTGCTGGACCACTCCGTCTAGGCTATTGCTGACTTATAATTTGAGGATGTGGAATGAACACAACCGCAGTGTCTGTGGACATGCACATACGGCAAACCGAGTCGGACACCATTCTTGCTTAAGCATGAGGAAAGCCAGTAACCAAACCGATCTGTTACTAAATTCATTAGACCGGTTTGGTACCGAACCGAACTAGTTCGAAGCGAACCGGCCCGGGTTCGGCCGGTTCGAAGTTTGGTTTTAGAGCCATAGAACCAAACTTCTAACACTAATCCTTAAGCTTAGCAGATCCGTGAATGCGACTGTGAGAAACCCGTTAATTTTGGGAAAGGGGTGTACTATGAGAAAGGTAGAGCTCGAAACGAGCCCCAAGCTATTTCTGTTTTTTTTTTTTTTTTTTTTTTTTCACCTATAACGTGGTCGCGTGGGTTTGCCACGTTGAACCGGGAAGAGTGATGCCACACTGCCATACGAAGATGAACAGTACATATTGATCTAGATGACTCGTCTCCGTATGGCTTTGTGTTGTATTAAAGGGCAACACCCAAATTACACAACGGAAGTCAACGCGGGAAAATAGGTTTGGGAAATCAGAGTGTTGAGGTTCGAAAACCTCCCCTAAACCTCTCTTCCCCGAAACCAGAAGGAGCGAGACACAAACTGGGCCCAGTTTGTGAAGGCGTTTCGGTAATTCGGGGGCTGGGCTTTAACATGATTGGATTCGATTTCACATGAGCTCTTATTCCCAGCTCTTTTTTATGCAAACTGTGGTCATCGCGTGACCACCTTATGAGCCGACGAGTCAAAGGCTCGGCGATACGAACGTCGAGTATCATTCGTCTCACTGTTTGCTCGCGTCTATGCGAAATGCCAAATATGCACGGAGCTCTAATGACGAAATGATGCATCGAGTTTGTTTTTACTCGTAGAGTAAAAAAAAATTCTAACAGAATACAAATGTCGACTAAAGATCCGGTTCTATTTACTCAACCGATTTTACTCGACTTGCTTGCTCATGTTTACCGATAGTTGCAAGCTGCATTCACTTCGTTCCTTCAAATATAATAGTTAATCTGACAAGGTCAGCAAGACTTGTATTAATCCTTCACGAGCGCGGTCCGTGACAGGCCTTGCCCGAGCCTGTTGATGATGTGCACGTGCACGTCACGTTACGTTCGTCTTTGAAAACTGGCGTCCCAAACAGCACAAAACTGCCTCAACCTTCCTAACTTTTGATTGGGTGTGACCCAGTAGATACTGACCCACTTCGCAAGTTGTCGGGACAAATTTCGCCACGCGAAATTATTGTACCCGCGAGAACAATAGCAGTGACGATTTCGCGAGTAGATTTGATGCACATCCGAAACTGTTACGAACTGATTCGTTCGTTGCAGTCAAGATCTGGTTACACACGCGAGGTACTCAGGCTCTGCGATCCACAACCAGAAATCTCGACACCACCCTGATTCGCGCGCCACTCACGTCCCTTGCCCCAACCAACCTTCCTAACTTAGAAACTCTTGAATGAACCAGTTCGTCTTTTGAGGGTATAAGAATGAACTGGTTCGGTTCGGTACCCTGCTCATCTCGAGCCTCTAATCTAGGCTTTATCAACCGACCTGGGCGGGTCGGGTCGATCCGATCAGACACCGGGTCGGGCTGGTCTGAAACTGACTTGTGACAGGCCTTGCCAAGCCCGTCCCATCAGGGGAATAAAACCTCCCTCCTCACTTTCCCTTCCTCCCGTTAACTCCCTGGCCACTGCCTGCGCACACATCCCACGGACGACGTCCATTGCATCGCCTTAATGCTGATGCTCCTTCTTTCAGATTTCTGTAATGCTCGTTTCCATGCCAACTTGAGCTCCCTCCATCTACCCTCATACCCGTGCCCATGCGTGTTTATCGTTGCAGACATCTTTATTCCGTTCGGCTCACTGGTTCTCTCCCAGCTACAATCGGGAACCTTACAAACCTGACCGACCTGTAAGGCCTCCTGCTAGGCCTGTCCATGGCTGTGCTCCCGCCTCTGCGCCCCTCCTCTCCACCCTTCCTTCACGTAGTTTTAACATGTTCTTCACTGAACCCGTGCCTTCTTGATTTGGTGCTGTTTTTGTGTCTTTCCTTAAACCTCGCCTCTTGTTGCATCTTCTCTTCTGGGTCGATCAAGAGAAAGAGGAAAGGAAGAGTGCGAACGCTTTGGACAAACGAAGTGCTGTTAAGGACAGAAGGTGAAAGTAGGAATGGAGGAGCAAGACAAGGGTTCGTATGAACCAACGACAAAGGGAAGAGGGAAAACCATGGAACGAGCAAGAAATGAGGAGCAAGTGGAGTGGAGAGAAGAGAATAGAGAGCAGAGGAGACAACCTGCGAGCCAGAATGCATTGAGCAAAGAAGAGGATAAGTAAAACGCCATACACTTTCTCCAATGCTTTCAATGAGGCTACAATATCGTGGACAGAGAGAGTAAGTCTTTGAACTGATTACGTGAAGATATTCTCTCGTTCTTCATGGTCTCGCAGTTCATCCTTACTACTACTTCCTTCTCCTGTTCTCCTTCTCCTGACCCCATCTATCCCCTGCCTTTGACTGCACACATCCCAATGACAATGCCTCTCACACTCACTTCATGCTTCTGCTCATTCTTCCAGATCTCGCATATCCTCCTATTTGTTGCTCCTTTCCTCCAACTATCTGCCTTCCCACAATTTAATCCGTGTTTATCGTCGCAGGAATCTTTGGGGAAGTGGTGTTAGCGGAACAATTCCTCACGAGATTGGCATGCTCACTAAACTAGTCGTCCTGTACGTCAATGAGCACGGCTTCCCACAGCAAGTCATGACTAATCACATCATATGGCAAACCGAGTCGGGCATCACTCTGGCTAACCCTCATGTGCCGGTTGATGAGGGAGAGTGATGCCACACTGCTGGGCTCACATTGGCAATCCTTCTTCCGCTTTCCATACCTTCTCTGTCCTCATGATCTCTCGTTTCGTCCTCACTCTGTCCACTTCCAATTGTCCCTATCTGCCTTCCCTACCACATGCCCATCCGTGTTTATCGTCGCAGAGATGTTTCTTGGAATCAGCTCAATGGCTCGATCCCGACTGAAATTGGCAACCTTACAAACCTGCAAGGCTTGTAAGGCCCTTTCCTTGTTTTGCTCTCCCTTCTGTGCTTCTCCTCTCGACCGTTTCTCCACCTCTTGATGCTAGTCCTGACCCTCGCCTTTCTGTTGAAAAGGGAGAGTGGTGCTTCAGTTGAGTCCACAGCCCTGCTGGACTCAGATTCTGGGCGGTTGCCAATCTTTTGCTCATTCAGATTTGCATAACCTCCTACCTACTGCTTGGTCGTTTCTATGCAAAAATAAGCTCCTTGTATGCCACGCCTTGGGGCTGATGAAGGGTTTCTCTCTCTCTTTACTTCTCCTGCCCACGGCTATCCCATGCCATTGTCTGCACACATTCCACTGGCAATGTCCATTGCGCTGCCTTCCATGCTTCTTTTTCTTATTTAGGATATCACATACCCTCGTATCTACGGCTTGTCATTGCCGTGCAAACGTAAGCTCCTTGTACCGCATGCTCGTGTTTTTTGGTCCCGCAGAAGGCTTCAAGGAAATTATAAAGTCAGTGGTTCAATCCCTGCTGCGATCGGCAACCTTGCGAACCTGACTTACTTGTAAGGCCTCTCTTCTGTGTTGCATGCTGCATTCTCTGCCCCTCGTCGCAATTCTTTCTCCTCTTGCTTCTTCTATTGCCACTCTTCGCCGGACCACTCCAGTTAACCCTCCGTCTAGGCTATTGCCGACTTGAAATTGGAGGATGTGGAATGAACACAGCTGCAGTGCCTGCAGACATGCACATACGGCAAACCGAGTCGGACACCATTCTTGCTTAGGCATGAGCAAAGCAAATAACAGAACCGATCTGTTACTAAATTCATCAGACCGGTTTGGTACCGAACCGAACTAGTTCGAAGCGAACCAGCCCAGGTTCGGCCGGTTCGAGGTCCGGTTTTAGAGCCATAGAACCAAACTGGTTCGGTTCAAACCGGAGCCGGTTCGAGGTGAACCGAACCGGTTCGGTTCGATGACTACAGGGGGAAGATATTGTACAAGGGCAGATTTGTTACACAATAATCAGATCCGTGAATGTGACTGTGGGAAACCCGTTGAGGAGGGGAAAGGTGCGTAAAAGGCGAAAGTTGAAGCTCGAAATGAGCTCCAATTTTCTGTTTTGTTTCACTAAGAACACGGCCGCGTCGGTTCACCGCGTTGAAACCAAGGTCGATTCGTTTCGAACCGGTTCAGTTCAATGCGGCTTGTAGGAAAATAATCGAACCAGTCGAACTGTTAGAACCTGTTTGGACCGTTTCGAACAGGCAGGCCAAAATACGACCCTGGTTTAATTTGAAGTGGTCCAAACCAAACTGAAGCAAACCGCAGGTTTTAATCCCTGCCTCACTCATGTTTACTCTAGCCTAATCTAGCTCACCCTAATGTGCCAGTTATGAAGGAAAAGTGATGCCGCAGTGCTGTCTTGAGCCGCGGGTTCCAATCCCTGCAACGCTCACTCACCTTCTGGGAGATTGGCAATCAAACAAACCTTCTTCAAGTGTATTGCGGCGTTTTTGCTCCATTCTCCCCTCGTTTCATGCTTGTGTGCTCGGGAGTGGCGAAGACTAGGTCGTCGACGTAAACCAGAACAAAGAACGGGGTTGAGGTACGGCGAACGAACAGCGACGGGTCGGCAGACGGCGGAAAGAAACCAATTGCACCAAGGGTCGTGCAAAGCGTGTCGTGCCACTTGCCCGGAGCCTGGAGCAGGTCGTAGACTGGTCGATGCAGCTGCCATTGGGTCGCAGGAGGGAAAGAGCCAGTGCAGCCAGGCAGACGACGCAACCAGATCTTCTCGTGCAGACCCCCTTGAAGAAACGTTGTGGAGAAGTCCAAGGAGTGCAACTCGTAGTCGCGCTGGGCTGGTACGAGCAGCAACACCCAAAGAGTGGTCATCTTCCGGGTGGGAGCAAAGGTCTGAAAAAGTCTTACCCCTCTTGTTGACTGAAGCCTCTTGCCACGTAGCGCTCCTTGAACACTGGTGGTGATCCAGACAGCCGCTTCACCTGATAAAGCCACATGCCACTGACGACGCTCGCTCAAGGTGGTGGGACTGCGTCGACGTAGGTGCCTGTGGACCTATAAGATGCCATCTCTTCCAGCTCAGCTGCTATCCAGTACGGGACGTAAGGTCCCCCGATCGCTTCACGCGAGTGCAAGGGGTGGGGATGTCAAGAGCATATGGATCCCCCTCAGGGGCAAGCAGCATGGCGCAGAGATGAAGAACAGCGGCCGCAATGAAACCAATCTCAAAGTGCCCGTCCTCTAGGACCTCCCGGGGAAAGACAGGAACACCCCCAGAGGACGAAGAACAAGCAGGGCCACTCACCAGGTAAGAGGCGTAGTCAAGGCGGTGGGACGAGGCAAAGCCAGCGACAATTGTAACAAGAGTCGAGACAGACAGGCGGGGGGCAGTCGGGTGAGTGATCAACGCGGACAGAACACGGGGGATGACATGACGAGAGGCATGGAGGTAGTCGGAGAACGGGTCTGGAGACATAGTAAGGGACGAGTCAGGAGGCTGTGGAAAGATTAAAGGAGGTGGAATAAGAGAGCGGAGAACCAGGTGAAACGGGCCATCAGCACGGTAACGAGAACGACGAGACCACAGAGACAAAGAAAGGGACAGGTTAGGGGGAACGGGGGGAAGGGGGGGGGGGGAGGTTACCACGAACAATACGTGCAGGTGCTGGGTCGGGCAGGTCTCTCAGTCGCTGCTGCTCCGCCTCCTCTGGCGGCTGCTGCTGCGGCACCTGCCTCTGCTGGTGCTCCTGCTGCAATGGGTGTGGCTCCTACTCTACCCTCTCCTGCTGCGGCTTCAACCGCACCTGCTGCTACAGCCGTGGGTCCTCCTCTACCCTCTCCTACCGCGGCTGCTGGTCACAGGTGGAAGTGCTGGTCCTGGTGCCTGGTGCTGGCGTGACGGCGCTGGTGCCGGTGCCGGTGCTGGTGACTGGCTTCTGTGCTGGTGCTGGTGCTGGCGGCTGGTGCTGGTGCCTGGTGCTGGCGTGATGGCGCTGGAGCAGGTGCTGGTGCTAGTACTTGGTGTTGGCAGCTAGCGCTGGTGCCTGGTGCTGGCGTGACAGCGCTGGTGCCGGTGCTAGTGCTGGTGACGGTGCTGGCGGCTGGCGCTGGTGCCTGGTGCTAGCGTGACGGCGCTGGTGCTGGTGCCTAGTGCTAGCGGATGGCGCTGGTGCTGGTGCCTGGTGCTGGCGTGACGGCGCTAGTGCTGGTGCCTCGTGCTAGCGTTGTAGCTGCTGGCGGGGTCTCTGCTAGCGGTGTAGCTGCTGGCGGGGTCTCTGCTGGCGGTGCCGCTGGCGTTGTCGCTGGTGTCGGTGTTGGCGGCAGTTGCTGGCGGATCCGACGGCGGGTTCGTCGGCTCGATTGCTTGCAGGCTCGCGGGTTCGTTGGCGAGCTCGCTGGCAAGCTCGTTGGCGGGTCCGACGGCGGGCTTGCTGACGCGCTCGTTGGCGGGTCCGTCGGCGGGTTCGCTGGCGCCAACGCTATCACTGGCGACCGTCGCTGGCGCTAACGACCGTCGCTAACAGTCTAAATGGCCGGTGGTACACTCGCCACTGGTCGCTGGCACGATCGCCACAGCTCGCCGCCTTCCTCGCCACGTGCAGAGCGTGACGAGCGAGCTACGGGCAGAACGCGACGGGAGATCCGTGGGGCGCGACATGACAGGCGCGATTGGTGGGCCCATATAAGAGACTCGGTCCACAGGATCTAACACTCTGATAACATGTTACGAGACTAACTTAACTGGTAACCGGGTTTAATTAGGGGCCTAGGCTTAGTAGCCTAGGCCAAGCGGGTGTCCAGGAGTTTGTGCCAAGGAGAAAAATGTCGAGAATGTGTGTTGTTCACTATAGCACACAAGGTAAATATAGCAAATTAGCAAAGGTGCACCACCAACAGGGAAACATAACTGTACTAAACCTAAAGCTACAGGCTGTTATAAACATATATAAATATATATCGCGACAGTAACTGCACCTGATGCTGCGACTGTGACTCCTCCTCTACTCTCTCCTACTACGATTGTGGCTCCTCCTCTACTCTCAGCTGCCGCTGCGATAGAAGCTTCTCCCGCTACTGCTGCTGCTGATGCTGCTACTGCTGTGCCCTCTCAAAGCGCTCATGCTCCTCCCTCTCCAACCGTAGAGGACACTGCTCATGGGCCAGAAAACGTACAGTGCATGGTGTAGGCGCCGAACTGGCAATGCCTCCAACTCCAGCACCCCTAGAACCAGAACCTTCAACAACGACACCCCCAGTACCTCGAGCACCTCCCGCAGGCACACCCCCAGGCTCCGCAGCGTATGGCCGTAGAGACGAACGAGGAAGGAACTGCAGGACAGACGGGAAACCAGGGGGTGAGGCGGGGCGAGGCCGGCGACCCAAGGCTGCCGTGTCCTCCAAAGGGGTGGCCTCCATGTTCACACCCCTTGCAACCCCAGAGCCGACACCACCAGCTCTAGGGAGCCCCAGACTCGGTAATCAGCTGCTATACCTCAGGACCCTATGGAAGACCGGCGTCACCCGTGGCCGAGCGTCACTGGGCCGCACGTTCAGGTGGTGCGCGGCGTAGCGGACAAGCTGGGGCCGCAGGAGCTAGGGGGCACTCGCATGGCACATGGAGGAACGAACAACCTCCATGACCACAGGAGCTGGGGCCACAGGAGCTGGGGGGCACTAGCACGGACGGGGCATGCACTTATAAGGGGCAACTGGGCAACCGCGTGCTTGGAGATCTGCACGAGAGTAAGGATGCGCATAGATCCATGTGGCAGCTGCCGGCATTGGCGTCGCATTGTGGGGGGCAGGCTAGAGAAGCTGACCATGCTGCTGCAACTCTCGAGCAAGGAAGTAACGCAGAGCGATGTGCTTCGTCCTGTGCTCCAGTCTGTGCTCCTGACACAAGGCAATCATGGCCTTGTTGTCTACGTACAGAACTGGAGAAGAACGAGGCCGCTCTCCCAAGTCGGTTAGCAGGTAGGTGAGCCAGCGTAACTCCTGTGCAGCCATGGCCCCTGCGTAAATCTCAGCCTTACAACTGGAGCTGAGAACAGAAGACGAGCGGGTAGACCACCAAGAAACAGAGTCGGAGCCAAGGCTGAAGGTGTAACCTTGTGACGACCGCTGCGTAGCCAAGTCGTCAACCCAAGAAGCGTCTGCGTGTCCAGTGAGGACATCTGGACCCTATTTTCCAAGCACGAGCCCCATGCCTGACGTACTGCACAAGTAGCGCAACACCCTCTTAGTGACTTCCCAGTGCTCTGGTCGGTGTCTTCCGGGCGCAACGTAGCGTGCCAGGATGCTAAGAGGGTAGGCAAGGTCAGGTCGAGTGCATGTCATCAGGTACATGAGGCAGCCCACAAGCTCTGGTTATGGGCCACTCGGCTCTACAGACTCCTCCAAAGGTTGAGCTGAGAGCGAGTGACTGGTAGGCAGAGGAGTGGACTGTCGCGAGGAGAACCGGAAGCTGAAGGACCTGCTGCACCATGTGTGACTGAGTCAGGGTGATGGTGCGCTGTGCTCTGCCCCGGGTGAGTTGCAAGCCAAGATAGCTGCGCAGCTCACCCCTGTCTGTGCACGTGTGTCTCTTTTGCAGCTCCGACTTCACAAGGGCTAGTGCCTCAACGTCAGCAATGGCAAAAACCAAGTCGTCAACATACATGAGGAAGTAGAACGGCGGCAGCGAAGTGTCGGTGCGCAGAAACAGCGACGGGTCAGCAGTGGAAGGAGCAAACCCAAGAGCCGCAAGTGTCATCCTGAGTGTGTCGTGCCACTTATGAGGTGCCTGGCGGAGACCGTAGACTGGCCGCTGGAGGCTCCACTGGGTACCTGCAGGAAACGACCCAGTGAAGCCAGGTGGGCGGCGCAGCCAGATCTCCTCGTGCAGAGTGCCCTGTAAGAAAGCTGTGCTGAAGTCAAGGGAGTGAAGCTCGTGGTCATGCTGAGCGGCAACGTGCAGCAGCACCCGAAGAGTGGTCATCTTCGGGGTAGGGGAGAAGGTCTGGAAGAAGTCAAATCCCTGACTAAAGCCTCGTGCAACGTAACGAGCCTTGAAGACAGGCGGAGAACCCGGCGGCTGCTTCACCCTGAAAATCCACATGCCATCGACTATGTTCGCCCCACGAGGAGGAACTGCGTCGACGTAAGTGCCTGTGGACCTCCAGGATGCCATCCATGCGTCCATGGCTGTCTGCCACTGAGAGGAGTAGGGACCCGTAATCGCCTCTGCGTAAGAGCGCGGGGTGGGGATGTCCAGTGCATCCGGGTCTCCCTCAGGTGCAAGCAGCATGGCCACGAGATGAGGTAAAGCAGCTGCAAGACACTCAAAGTTCTCATGTCTGTCCTCAAGGACGTCCGTGCCAAGAGCACACTCACCCCCGACGGACGGAGGACAGTCAGACTCAGACTCAGGAACAAGACTAGCGGCATAGTCGAGACGACACGGAGCAGCAAAGTCCTACCTTTCACCTCTTGTCCACGTTTTTGCTTCTTCATCGTTGTTTCTCGTACAAGTTCAGGGGGGCCAAAACTAAATCTTTTCTTCGCCTCTCTCGTCCCATATTCCATGCTCTCTTCCTCGATCCCATTCTATCTGTGGATGATAAGCGTTGGGGCAGGCAAATACTTACCTCTCTTCACTACTCCTGCCCCCAGCTATCCCATGCCATTGTCTGCACACATTCCACTGGCAACGTCCACTGCGCTGTCTTCATTGCTCGTTTCCATGCAAACTTATTTTTTTTGTGTTTTGAAGTTACTTACCCCCCGACTCAATCCACTCTCGAATCGGCAACTTACCAACCGTCTGAGTTTAAGGCCTCTCTCCTCCGTATCCTCTTTTCTTTCTCGTACCTTTTCATCACTAATATCCAATATTTACCTTCCTATTGTCCTCACTCCTTCCTTTTCCTATTGTCCCTATCTCGTCTCCGCCTCTCTCCTCCTTTCTCCCATGCAATTTTTTTCCCCACGCCCATTTTATGAGGTGATAACACGCCTTTTGGCAGGAGAGAGCACCTGTTTCCTCACTTCTCCAGCCCCCCACCTATCCGCAACCATTGCCTGCACACATCCCAGGGACAATGTCCATCGCACTGCCTTCATGCTTTTGTTGCCTTTTCTTGATTTCGCATAACCTCCTATCTGCTGCTCGTTTCCATGCAAACTCGAGGTCCCTGTATCTACCTTCCCTACCACATGCCCATCCGTGTTTATCGTCGCAGGGATGGTTCGTGGAATCAGCTCAGTGGCTCAATCCCGACTGAAGTTGGCAACCTTACAAACCTGCAAGGCTTGTAAGGCCCTTTCCTTGTTTTGCTCTCCCTTCTATGCTTCTCCTCTCCACCGTTTCTCCACCTCTTGATGCTAGTCCTGACCCTTGCCTTTCTGTTGAAAAGGGAGAGTGGTGCTTCAGTTGAGTCCAGAGCCTGCGATTCGATTCCCTGCTGGACTCAGATTCTGGGCAGTTGCCAATCATTTGCTCATTCAGATTTGCATAACCTCCTACCTACTGCTTGGTCGTTTCTATGCAAAATTAAGCTCCTTGTATGACACTCCTAGGGGCAGACGAAGGGTTTCTCTCTCTTCACTTCTCCTTCCCCCGGATATTCCCTGCCATTGTCTGCACACACTCAACTGGCAATATCCACTGCACTGCGCTGTCTTCCAAGTTTCGTTTCCATGCAAACATAACTTCCTTGTATGTACCTCATGTTCGTGAATTTTGTCCCGCAGATTACTTCATAGGAATCAGCTCAGTGGTTCAATTCCTGCTGCGATTGGCAACCTTGCGAAGCTGACTATCTTGTAAGACCTCTCTGCTGTGATGCATGCTGCATTCTCTGCCCCTCGTCCCACTCTTTCTCCTCTTGCTTCTTCTATTGCTACTCTTTGCTGGACCACTCCGTCTAGGCTATTGCTGACTTATAATTTGAGGATGTGGAATGAACACAACCGCAGTGTCTGTGGACATGCACATACGGCAAACCGAGTCGGACACCATTCTTGCTTAAGCATGAGGAAAGCCAGTAACCAAACCGATCTGTTACTAAATTCATTAGACCGGTTTGGTACCGAACCGAACTAGTTCGAAGCGAACCGGCCCGGGTTCGGCCGGTTCGAAGTTTGGTTTTAGAGCCATAGAACCAAACTTCTAACACTAATCCTTAAGCTTAGCAGATCCGTGAATGCGACTGTGAGAAACCCGTTAATTTTGGGAAAGGGGTGTACTATGAGAAAGGTAGAGCTCGAAACGAGCCCCAAGCTATTTCTGTTTTTTTTTTTTTTTTTTTTTTTTCACCTATAACGTGGTCGCGTGGGTTTGCCACGTTGAACCGGGAAGAGTGATGCCACACTGCCATACGAAGATGAACAGTACATATTGATCTAGATGACTCGTCTCCGTATGGCTTTGTGTTGTATTAAAGGGCAACACCCAAATTACACAACGGAAGTCAACGCGGGAAAATAGGTTTGGGAAATCAGAGTGTTGAGGTTCGAAAACCTCCCCTAAACCTCTCTTCCCCGAAACCAGAAGGAGCGAGACACAAACTGGGCCCAGTTTGTGAAGGCGTTTCGGTAATTCGGGGGCTGGGCTTTAACATGATTGGATTCGATTTCACATGAGCTCTTATTCCCAGCTCTTTTTTATGCAAACTGTGGTCATCGCGTGACCACCTTATGAGCCGACGAGTCAAAGGCTCGGCGATACGAACGTCGAGTATCATTCGTCTCACTGTTTGCTCGCGTCTATGCGAAATGCCAAATATGCACGGAGCTCTAATGACGAAATGATGCATCGAGTTTGTTTTTACTCGTAGAGTAAAAAAAAATTCTAACAGAATACAAATGTCGACTAAAGATCCGGTTCTATTTACTCAACCGATTTTACTCGACTTGCTTGCTCATGTTTACCGATAGTTGCAAGCTGCATTCACTTCGTTCCTTCAAATATAATAGTTAATCTGACAAGGTCAGCAAGACTTGTATTAATCCTTCACGAGCGCGGTCCGTGACAGGCCTTGCCCGAGCCTGTTGATGATGTGCACGTGCACGTCACGTTACGTTCGTCTTTGAAAACTGGCGTCCCAAACAGCACAAAACTGCCTCAACCTTCCTAACTTTTGATTGGGTGTGACCCAGTAGATACTGACCCACTTCGCAAGTTGTCGGGACAAATTTCGCCACGCGAAATTATTGTACCCGCGAGAACAATAGCAGTGACGATTTCGCGAGTAGATTTGATGCACATCCGAAACTGTTACGAACTGATTCGTTCGTTGCAGTCAAGATCTGGTTACACACGCGAGGTACTCAGGCTCTGCGATCCACAACCAGAAATCTCGACACCACCCTGATTCGCGCGCCACTCACGTCCCTTGCCCCAACCAACCTTCCTAACTTAGAAACTCTTGAATGAACCAGTTCGTCTTTTGAGGGTATAAGAATGAACTGGTTCGGTTCGGTACCCTGCTCATCTCGAGCCTCTAATCTAGGCTTTATCAACCGACCTGGGCGGGTCGGGTCGATCCGATCAGACACCGGGTCGGGCTGGTCTGAAACTGACTTGTGACAGGCCTTGCCAAGCCCGTCCCATCAGGGGAATAAAACCTCCCTCCTCACTTTCCCTTCCTCCCGTTAACTCCCTGGCCACTGCCTGCGCACACATCCCACGGACGACGTCCATTGCATCGCCTTAATGCTGATGCTCCTTCTTTCAGATTTCTGTAATGCTCGTTTCCATGCCAACTTGAGCTCCCTCCATCTACCCTCATACCCGTGCCCATGCGTGTTTATCGTTGCAGACATCTTTATTCCGTTCGGCTCACTGGTTCTCTCCCAGCTACAATCGGGAACCTTACAAACCTGACCGACCTGTAAGGCCTCCTGCTAGGCCTGTCCATGGCTGTGCTCCCGCCTCTGCGCCCCTCCTCTCCACCCTTCCTTCACGTAGTTTTAACATGTTCTTCACTGAACCCGTGCCTTCTTGATTTGGTGCTGTTTTTGTGTCTTTCCTTAAACCTCGCCTCTTGTTGCATCTTCTCTTCATATCTTCACGTAATCAGTTCAATGACTTACTCTCTCTGTCCACGATATTGTAGCCTCATTGAAAGCATTGGAGAAAGTGTATGGCGTTTTACTTATCCTCTTCTTTGCTCAATGCATTCTGGCTCGCAGGTTGTCTCCTCTGCTCTCTATTCTCTTCTCTCCACTCCACTTGCTCCTCATTTCTTGCTCGTTCCATGGTTTTCCCTCTTCCCTTTGTCGTTGGTTCATACGAACCCTTGTCTTGCTCCTCCATTCCTACTTTCACCTTCTGTCCTTAACAGCACTTCGTTTGTCCAAAGCGTTCGCACTCTTCCTTTCCTCTTTCTCTTGATCGACCCCCTCTCGTTCTTCATGGTCTCGCAGTTCATCCTTACTACTACTTCCTTCTCCTGTTCTCCTTCTCCTGACCCCATCTATCCCCTGCCTTTGACTGCACACATCCCAATGACAATGCCTCTCACACTCACTTCATGCTTCTGCTCATTCTTCCAGATCTCGCATATCCTCCTATTTGTTGCTCCTTTCCTCCAACTATCTGCCTTCCCACAATTTAATCCGTGTTTATCGTCGCAGGAATCTTTGGGGAAGTGGTGTTAGCGGAACAATTCCTCGCGAGATTGGCATGCTCACTAAACTAGTCGTCCTGTACGTCAATGAGCACGGCTTCCCACAGCAAGTCATGACTAATCACATCATATGGCAAACCGAGTCGGGCATCACTCTGGCTAACCCTCATGTGCCGGTTGATGAGGGAGAGTGATGCCACACTGCTGGGCTCACATTGGCAATCCTTCTTCCGCTTTCCATACCTTCTCTGTCCTCATGATCTCTCGTTTCGTCCTCACTCTGTCCACTTCCAATTGTCCCTATCTGCCTTCCCTACCACATGCCCATCCGTGTTTATCGTCGCAGAGATGTTTCTTGGAATCAGCTCAATGGCTCGATCCCGACTGAAATTGGCAACCTTACAAACCTGCAAGGCTTGTAAGGCCCTTTCCTTGTTTTGCTCTCCCTTCTGTGCTTCTCCTCTCGACCGTTTCTCCACCTCTTGATGCTAGTCCTGACCCTCGCCTTTCTGTTGAAAAGGGAGAGTGGTGCTTCAGTTGAGTCCACAGCCCTGCTGGACTCAGATTCTGGGCGGTTGCCAATCATTTGCTCATTCAGATTTGCATAACCTCCTACCTACTGCTTGGTCGTTTCTATGCAAAATTAAGCTCCTTGTATGACACTCCTTGGGGCAGACGAAGGGTTTCTCTCTCTTCACTTCTCCTTCCCCCGGGTATCCCTTGCCAGTGTCTGCACACACTCAACTGGCAATATCCACTGCGCTGTGCTGCCTTCCAAGTTTCGTTTGCTTATTAAGGATATCAGATAACCTCCTATTACTGCTTGCTCGTTTCCATGCGATCATAAACTCCTTGTATGTACCGCATGATCGTGTATTTTGTCCCGCAGATTACTTGGTAACAATCAGCTCAGTGGTTCAATCCCTGCTGTGATCGGCAACCTTACGAAGCTGACTTACTTGTAAGGCCTCTCTGCTATGATGTATGCTGCATTCTCTGCCCCTCGTCCCACACTTTCTCCTCTTGCTTCTTCTATTGCTACTCTTCGCTGGACCACTCCGTCTAGGCTATTGCCGACTTAACATTTGAGGATGTGGAATGAACACAACTGCAGTGCCTGCAGACATGCACATACGGCAAAACGAGTCGGACACCATTCTTGCTTAGGCCGGTTTCGAGGTTCGGTTTTTAGAGCCATAGAACCAAAATGGTTCGATTCGATGACTACAGGGGGAAGATATTGTACAAGGGCAGATTTGTTACACAATAATCAGATCCGTGAATGTGACTGTGGGAACCCGTTAAGGAGGGGAAAGGGGCGTAACAGGAGAAAGTTGGAGCTCGAAATGAGCTCCAAGTTTCTGTTTCACTAAGAACGCGGCCGCGTCGGTTCGCCACGTTGAACCAGGGTCGATTCTTTTGACTCAACCGAGTTTACTAGACTCCCTAGCTCATGTCTACCACTGTAGTTGGCAACACAGCTGAGCTTCTGGTAGGGCCTCTCTACTGTGTTGTCTTCCCCTGTCTTGCAAGACTTGTGTTAATCCTTCACGAGCACGATCCGTCGATCTGTCGCAGGTCTCTTTGGGGAAAGCTGCAGGTGCTGACAATCAACTCCGCTTGCTTTTTGTACCCTCCTCTCCAGTCCACCCCTTGTCTTCATAGCTGCGCATTGTGTATTTCGATCTGATACGCCATTGTGCGAAATTGGGCTGTCTTGGCTCATGTCGAGCCACCTGCTGTCCACCCAGTCTTGACGAGTGACAAGATGTCTCTGTTCATGTCTCTTGTGTACTTTGTGCTCATATGGTGCTTGTATTGGAAGCTACGTTACCGTTGACGCATCCGGTGTTTTGGACACTGGTCTCCAGACGCTGGATTTCATCCAAGGCAAAAAAAAACGTGAAGTGACACGAGTTTAGCAAAACTTAATTGGACTTATATTCTATGTATTGAACACTCCCTCATACCCATCTTGATCGTCGTCTTCCCCTATCTCTCCCCTCATGCCCTTGTCTTTCCTCCATGCCTTCTGCATACCTTTTCTGCTCCAAAACCTTCCTCTGCTCACCACCTCATTCATACCATTCACATGCATCCAGGGTTTCCTATGAGCCTGATGAAAAATTTCCTGCTTATTTTTGCTTCGCCTGGCATTGTTTGACCCCCCCCCCTCCTCCCCTCCCCCACTCCCCCTCCCCCCCTCCCCTCACAGTGATCTCTCCCACAACTTCCTCACAGGTCCCCCACTTGAGATTTTGAATCGGATGCCAGGGTTCAAGGCGGACCTCTCTAGCAACTACCTGTCGGGTCCTTGGAATGCAAGAAACTGTTCTCAGTACAGTATCGCTGCCAACTGCTTTGCACAGGACAGAGCTTGCGTGAAAGAAACACAGCGACCCCCGGCACAGTGCACAGCGTTTTGTGGCGTATCCACAAAGAGTAGTACTTCTGCATGTGACGGCCGTGGCATCTGCAGACCAGTTGGGCCCAGTTTGGTACCCACGTGCTCGTGTAATCCGGGATCGGTGCAGTTTGAAAGAATCCGCTGCATTGCGACAGGTAAGATGTTTCTGTAGCACGCCTTCAGGGCTTGTGATTGTACTGTGAATATTACGCATGGTCGCACTTGCAAGGGCTATACGGACATCATATTGTTTATTTGCCCAGTAAGCCCTCTATAGCCGTTTGCCTTACAGATTGCGACAGTCTTGTCCAGCCAGCATGGCATCACACATTGGTTATCCCTCGCCTCTGTGGCTCTCACCCAGTTTAACCAGAGCACATAAGCTCACTGAGTCATTCATGGGTGCTACACACAAAGTAGCACCACACGGCACAGACCCCTTTACCATGGATGCCCCCTCCAAAGAGCTGACCACATAATTTTGTTCACATATTGCAACATTGCTCACCACTCTCACCCTTCCTCATGCTCTTCTCTGCTGCTCCTCCCTCAAAACTTTTCAGGCTTGATTGAACAAGGCTACACCATTCTTCCCCGATTCACCGAGCTCACCAACGGGTTACATCAGCAGACAGTGGGGCGGTTCATGGCGAATCCAGTGACCCTGTTTGCTTACCCTCCTGGTGTGACCTCGGGATGTGGATTGGAGTTGGCGTTTAGAGTCAACTTCACCTTCGCTATCTTTCCCCAGAATGGTGATGCCAGGTCCAACGGCTTTGCGTTTGTGATCGCAGCAAAGGCCAAGGTGGGGAAACCCAATGGTGTGGGGTATGGAGGAATGGGGCCTGGGAACATAGCCGTTGTGTTCAAGACGCTTCAAACAAACAAGCAGTGTGATAGCGAGCACCACGTGGGTCTGAACATTAACGGCGCTGAAAAATCGATGGTGAAAGAGGTCTCACCATTCACTCTCACCAACCGCGCTGGATACACGGCATGGGTGGACTATGAGCCTGGGAATCCCGGCACCATTCAAGTGTTCCTGGCGGATTCAGCCATGAAGCCAGAGAAACCGCTGCTGCAGACGAGTCTGTCACTCTGTGAGCTGCTGCGGGCTTCAGTGAAGCCCTTCCAGCCGGCGTTCTCATTTGGTTTCGTTGCATCCACCACTGTGAAGCCCTTCCAGCGATACAACATTCTCTTCTCTTACGTGCAAACAGGTAAGGATATGCCAAGCGGGGTGATGCTGATGGCCATGACTGTCTGAATGGTGATAGCATGTTCTGGGGGGGGGGGGGGGGGGGGGGGGTGTGGTGGTGGTGGTGGTGGTGGTGGTGGTGGTGGTGGTGGTGGTGGTGGTGGTGGTGGTGGTGGTGGTGGTGGTGGTGGTGGTGGTGGGTGGTGGTGGAAACCGTTGGTAGCCCTTCATGTGGTTCTCTCCCTCCCTCTCTTAAGGCTCAACCATCCTGGGCTGCTGTGCTGTCTTCCTACTTGTGTCTTTCTCTCTCCATAGGTGCTCCTTCACCCAAGCTACCCGAGAACAATACACAAGGTGAGCACTATGGCTGGCATGTGGCAATCGAATGTTGTAATGCCCGGTAGCAAGGTGTGGGGCATCCACAAGAAGCCTTAGGCCGCAGGTGAGGTGCACGCGTCACACGTGACATGTGTGTCCCAACCATCATTTTTCAAGAGCCGCACCTAGTCGTCCCAGATCGCATGCTCATCTCTGCTCCTGCTCTTGCTCTACTCCCCAAGCACATCTCTTCTTCTTCCCCACCCCCTTCCCGCCCCTTACAGCACTCGGCCTTTCACTATCGAAGGCCACGTTTGCACCATCTCAAGTCAGCCCCTTTTCGCGCTACGTGAGTGCGGACTTCAAGCTGTCGACCAAATTGATGGAATCGTGGAGCATCAATGACCCCCACTCGTGGGACAACGTGCCCTGGCTTGCCTGGCCTGTCAAGAACCAGAACGACTGCAGTAAGTGGAAACAGAATCCCGAGTTCCCAGCTCACGTTCTGACCCGCTTTTGCATTGCCTTTAAATAACATATTTTCCTAGTGTCATGTCTTATGTTAAACGTCAACTGCTGTTTCTTTCTTGTCGAACAATGTTGTCGCCGCGAGGCAGCAAATGCCGCCGTCATTGCATGCTTCTCCTTCTCCGTCCACTTTTCAGATGCCTGCTGGGCGTATGCAGTGGTGGCGAGTGTGGAGGCAGCATACGGCATTGCCAACAATAGCAGAGCTCCCCAGTTGTCAGAGGAGTCCCTCTTTGCTGCCATGGGGCTCACCGATGCAGACAAGTGCACAGCTGGCGGCTCACCCGCCCAGGCATTTGAAAACCTCGAGGCTCTTAACGCCAACAACGGCAGTGGGCTCACAGCCAACAATTCGGTACGGAAAACAGAATGGTCTGCTAACAAACCTGAGCACCAGAAATTCCAGCCATGAGTTTTGAATCCGTTGCGAGAATGACCAGCCCGACCCGTGCCAGGCCCCCACTGGCTGCAATGAGGCCCGTCACGCTGGCTACGGCTTGGAAGAACTGGCCAGCCAAGGCCCGTCAAGAATTTTGACATGTGGCTCTGGCTGGCCCTGCCCTGTAGTGCCGATCGGGCCTGGCGAAAATTCGACCCGTGTGATTTTGACAGGCTGGCTCTCCACAACCATCCCTTCTTCCCCCACCCCACCTTCCCCCTCCCTTTTCCCCCTACCCTCTTCCCCACCCCTCACCCCACCCTCCCCCCCTCCGACCCCTTCCCCCACTCCAACACCCCCCTTTCCCTTCCACTACTATCGCATTCCCCTATTCGCGTGACCCCAGGCAACTAGGTACCCGGTGCAGGCATTTGAGCAAGCGCAGTTCAAGGGGTATGTGGGGCTCATGCTGGCAGTGCGACACCAGCCAGTGTTGGTTCACATCCAGGCGTCTGCTGCCACGTTCAATGCGTATAATGGGGTGAGTCGTTGCAACTCTCAGCCATTATGGTGCCTCGTTGTCCCACCATGGCGCATTTAGCGCGGCTTGGAATGAAAATGTGGGTTCCAAGAGCTGATTAATGAAGAAGAGGAAAAGAAACCAATGAAAGAAGTGTAATTGCCTCAATCTCGCTCAATCTCACACCACTCAATTTCACTTGTGCATCTCAGTAGGTGATATTTCTCTTTCCAACAGAAATCCTACCCAGTAACCCAAATACAAATGTTTATCCATTTCATAAACATTTTGTTGAATGCATACTCTGGCTTTGTTTGCTCACACATATATGGCACGGACATTCATTGTGTAGTGCTTTAACCCCTTCCACCTCGGATTCATACTTGACTTGACTGACTGTTCTTCTAAACCCATAACCCCCCAACTCTCCCCCCCCCCCCCCATTTTTTTCAATGTATCTTCTGCTTGAACTCTGTTGCAGACTTTTAAATACCAGGATCCAGATTGCTACACGGGCAGTCTCAACCATGTTGTACTCGTTATAGGCTACTCCATCGTGGTTGAAGACGGCAATCAGAAGCGCATTGCTCCACCATTTTGGATCATCCGCAACTCATGGGGAGAGGGGTGGGGAGAGAATGGTCACATGCGCATGGACATTCAGGGAGGGGATGGCGTGTGCGGCATCAATGTGCTTCCTGGCATCTACCCCATAATCAGAAGTGAGCACTATCTACCCCATAATCAGAAGTGAGCACTATCTACCCCATCGTCTAGCGTGGGCACTATCTCGTGCGAGGCAGCCAGCGATGGTGGCAAAACTCTTGCAAAACTGTGCGGATCTGGAATTTCAAAGTTAGATCCCTGGGAATCTGGCATTTCACCGGCAAATCCTCTTGGATTTGGCATTTTGCCACCAGAGCCGCTCGCATTTGTCACTTAACCACCTCTATGATCTTGAACTAATCGTTCAAGCAAAGAGAGTGTAGACAATCCACATGCTTGCTCAAGGCTAGTATCGATAAGCACAGAACAGTCCGAAAGGGACGTAAAAAACAGCACGGTATGCACGCTTTGCAAGCTCAATGTGGTACGAGCTCTTTAGTAATTTCTCTCCACACTTGCTTGTTTTCTATGGTCGTCTAACATCCATCTTCACGTTTTGAAAAGTGCAACCTCTTTGTCGCCTTCCAGTTCCAGGGGACCCTTGCGGGCGCAAAAGCTACAAGTTCGATAAGGAGACGGAGACCAGCATGAACCCGTGCGGCCGCTTCCAGTGCCAGACTTCCAAAACAAGAAGCAACAGCAATAACTGCAACTGCAGTATTCCCGCTCTTGGAGCTAATCCGCAGCCCTTTGTCGAAGTTAAGAATGGTTATGGCTCCAACGCATGTGCTTACGGTAAGTTTGATGGCAAGGAAAAGCTTGAGTTTCCAAAGTTTGTCTCTCACTAAACTCAAGTATGCCTGGTTCTTGCACCATGCAAAAGCCCCCTCACCCTCCTGATATGAGTTCGGAGATTAGTAGGCGAGAGGGCACATCAACGAGTGAGTGAGTCACAAGACATCTCTCCCAGCCTGCTTGTGCAATGTGCAGGAGATCCGACGGCATCTTGCGGTGTGCAGCATCATTTCGCTTGAGTGACATGTAGTGCCATATTCCCTCTCGCTCCTCTCCATATCCCCCCTTCTCTTCTCCCCAACACTCATCCCTAATCTCTTCTCCCCACATCCCCACTCTTTCTACCAATATTCCCACATCTTTCTTCCCATATCCCTCAAATGTCTGTACCATGCGCCACCCCTATACACCTGGGGCAGTGAACGTGTGTGGGTCATACTTCAAGAACCCCTGCTACGTGGGAGCATGCATCAACGATGGCAAGGGCGCCTACTCCTGCATCTGCCCTCCCAACCACGTTCCCAGCAAAACCGTTGATGGCTTTCCCACCTGCGATCCAGGTGCTGCCACTCTACCCCAAGCAGGTGTCTTTAGAAGTGTCAGTCTGTATTGCTTAAAATCGCGAGTGTGTTGTGCTTGTAACACATCTGAGGGCATTCCAGCACTGTACGATGGGCCCCGAATCTTCTGTTTCTCTGAAGTTGCTAACCCTCCCTTTCCGTTCCATAATGCCCGTGTCTCTCCTCTTTCTTTCGCGTCTGCAGCAAACAGCACAGCCACCACAATGACAGTTCAAGGAAACAACTGGTTGTGCTCGGATGTTTATGCACTTGTTGGCCTCTCACTGGATGAATTCACTCGCCAGAATGCAGTAAGGATTGTGGGTGAGAGGCTAGCCTCCATCCAACTTTCTCGCTTCACTTCCCGAATCACCTATTTTCACGTCACTTCTCCCTGTAGTCCTATATCAACTTGGTCCTGGTATGGTTTGATTTAACATCATATCTTCCTTGACCATTGTTGACAGTTGCATCCTAGTTTTATTTAATCAGTCTTTAACTCTGCTTTTTCACAGGAAGAATCCAAGAACCTCAAATCACATAGTGAGGTGCAAGAACCTTACCCCCTAGGACCCGGTACGAAGGGGAGGCCCATGTGGAATTTGGTACGAACCTCTTCTTCGTGCATGTGTTTCCCACCGCAGGGCATCGATTGCAGCCAGCCATTGCCCAAGGGCAGTGTCCTTCAGCTGGATGGTACTCCTGCCACACCCTGCACTGCCTTCTTTTACACCGTCAAGGTGAGAAACTGCTTGCCTCTTGGCCACACCACACCATGCTCTTAATCAGCTCGGGGTTATTGAGGTCAATGCTCCTATTTCGTCTTTATTGGTACAAATAGGAATCACCGATTTTGATCAAGCAAAGGCTCATCACATCACATCGTTGTTGACGTGAGCAAGCAGCAAGCACACTGTCCCTGCCTCTCTCCAACCTGCCAGGGAGACACCTGTGAATCCATCAGCAATCAGCTTAACTACAATAAGGGGAATCTCACCACGCTAAACCCCGGCCTTAACTGCTCCGAGCCCTTGAAGGCGGGCCGCTCGGTGTGCCTCGAGCGCAGCGCTGCCTTCGCCTACATGGTGCCTGATTGTAAGAAGTATGGCACACTCACACGTGAAGACAAATGTGACCAGCTGCTTCAGGGGACACCTTACTCAGAAGAGAGCTCCAAAGAAAGCCCGTGGCTCGCACTTTACCGCAGCAATCCTGGCCTTACTTGCTCCTCCACCATCCCTCAATCTGCCTCCGCTGCTGGCAGCAAGATTGGCGTACAGGTGAGGGCTGTGAGGGCTGGGGGAGGGGGGAAGAGGGGGGGAAAGGGAGGGTAGAGGGGGTCAGGAAGGGGGGGAGGGAAGAAGAGGGTGTGACTAGGGTTGGGGTAGCAGGTAGGTAGGTGGACAAATGTGATTGTGCTTTGCATTCTGGGCTTCTGCACGAGTACGTGGTTTGTCGCCCTTTCCTCTGTTCTACATTCCTTGCCAGTCTTTGCTTGTCAACTTGGTTTTACCAGCACCATCATGAATTCCATTAAATTCACTCACATGAATCTTGTCATCCCAGATTTGCCTCCAAGCAGAGTATTGGCCATTGACAACAATGGGTATCTGCAAGAAGGGAAGGGTAAAGCAAGTCCAACCAACTATGGCATGTTCAGCTGCTTACCTCCTTTATAATGGACCAACCTCGGCAGCAATTGAACAGTTTAACAACTATAATGTTAGGTCTTGCTCTGGAACTGTAAGAGCGAAGTCTATTTGCGTGCCCCTGTCATCTTAGAATGCCTTTTATTGAAGAGTATTGTCTTAATGGCCAAATTATATGCAACCATAGGGACCACGCCCCAGGATAGAGGGGTGAAATACCCTTATGACATGGGGCTCCTTCGTTATCTGACAAAACTACTGTCTGTTGGTTCGATTTTTTATATTGTGCTTTGTTTACTAGAACCGTACATCATATTGTTGGAATTATGGTTGATTCAGGTTGCTCTAGTAAATATTTACACTAGTGTTTGGATTTACATAGGTACTCTAATACTCTGGATTTGCAGGTCAATGACAGCTACGATGCTGAGGAAGATCCGCAGAGTTACGGAACTGCTCACCGGCGCATACCGTAATCCCCCGTATATAGGACCCCCCCCAGTTGTAGACCCCCGGGTCTATAATACGGACCCGGGTACTCTATTCGAGTACATCTGAGTTATACCCCCCTAAATGGCTCCTAACATTATAATGTAGGGCTGAGAAAGCCCTTGGGATCTTTGGTAGGGTTAAACTCTGGGTAGAGTGATGTAATAGCGGAAGCGTTTGAATGAAGTCCTTGAACCACCTTGCGCTAGTATGTGAGGGCAAAGTAAGTTGATTAAAACAAAGGGATACAGGATTATATAAGAGTACAAGGGATACGAAGAGATACGGTTGTAACTGTTTTACTTGTTGCTGTTGCGGTTCGATACAGTGCGACTCGGGCAACTGCTCAATATCGAGTCAGTTGTGTGTCCTTGCTGTCGCGCTGCATTTGTCAGGTCAAAGGTCGCTGACCTTTGACTTTCGCGTAACCTCTGACGGTTGTTTCAACCTCCGAGGGTTGACTCGCCGATGCTTTGATATGCTTTGCTTCGCTTCTGTCTTGGTGTTTCGACACGACAGATGCGTATTTAGATTACTTGTTCCCAACACTCCCCTTCGCTTCTGGAGTGTCGCTGCTGGTGATGTGGCTCTGTCCAGTCAGCATCATGCAGTACTCGAACTTCTGTTTTCCGAACTTCTTGGTCAAGTAATCAGCTGCCATCTCGGATGTGGGACAGTAGGATAATTCGAGTCTCCCCTTCTCGATCTCGTCTTTCACGAAGAAATATCGCAGAGCGATATGCTTCGTTCTGTTCGCGAATCCGTTTTTGTTGGCGATGCGAATTGCAGATTGGTTGTCGCAGAACAGAGTGAAGCTGGGTAACTGAGCCAGCTTCGCTTCCTCCAGGAGTTCGCGAAGGTACAATCCTTCCTTGGTGGTTGAGCAGAGTGCGGTATATTCTGCTTCAGCTGAGGAGAGAGCGATTAACTCTTGTTTGCTCGACTGCCACGAGATCGGTCCGATAGGTTCGAGACGGTAGATGTAGCCTGTGCGCGAGCGTCTGTTGTCGGAATCTCCGGCGTGATCGGCGTCGACGTAGCCGATTAGCTTGGGTGTTGTAGTCCCGTTCTTGTAGTAGGTCAGGCCGATCGTTGGCGTACTGACGAGGTAGTGAAGAGCGCGGTCGAGTTCGGCCATGTGTTCAGCTTCGGGCCTTTTAATGTAGGTGGCGAGCTGGCTTGCGGAGTATGATAGGTCCGGGCGGCAGGTGTCAGCTGCGAAGAGAAGGCATCCTGGCTTTCTCTGGTAGTCGCGTATCCCGGCGGGCTTGAGTGGAGTGGAACCTTCCTTGTGGTTTCCTGTCGTGTAGCGGTAGGGCGTAGAGATGGTGGTAGGCGTGAGCGCGAAACGCTTGGCGATGGTGTCGGCGTACTTAGCGGCGTTGAGGTAGATCGCGCCTTCTTCTTCCCGGATGTTTAGACCGAGGTACTGAGTGACGGTAGAGGAAACCGTGAGTGTGAGATCCTTCTGTAACTCCCCTTCGAACCAGGTAGTGATGCCGTCGGTGGAGCCGATGTAGAGCAAATCATCTACGTAAACGATAAGCAGGATGTAGTCGGTGTCCTTAGTAAGCCGATACATTCCTTGGTCGTAAGGTAGTTGGCGGAACCCGATGCGGACGAGCCTGGCGTGTAGGTACTGTTGCCATAGCCTCGGGGCTTGTTTGATACCGTAGAGTGACTTCAGTAGTTGACAGACCTGATTAGGCTCTCCGCTGGAACCGTGAGGGAGCTCGACGAAAATCTCCGCGTCGACAGGTGCGTAGAGGAACGCGTTGGCGACATCGATCTGTCGCAACTTCTTTTTCATGGCGGCGATCGCGAGGAGGATTCTAAGTGAGGTGTGTCGGCTGACCGGGGCGAATGTCTCGGTGAAGTCCCGTCCGTGCTCCTGATCGAATCCACGCACAACCCAGCGTGCTTTGAACTTTTCAATTGTGCCGTCTGCTTTCGTTTTGATGCGGAAGACCCATTTCCCGGTGAGAATGGTCTTGTTTCTTGCCACGATGATAGGGACAACTTTCCAGGTGTTCCGTTCCTCCAGCGCCTTTAACTCTTTGTCCATGGCTTCACGCCATTTTTCCTTATGTTCCCCCCCCAGAGCCTGCTGAACTGTCGTAGGCTCCTTAGGAAGAGTCGTGCCGTGGACTGCGGTGACGAGGCCGAGAATTTGCAGTCCACTCTGTGAGTAGCGGGGAAGAGTTGCGTCCTCGGGATAAGCTGCTTCATCTCCCGCTTCTGGATCAGGTATGAAATTCGGTCCTACTCGTTCTGCTTCGTTGGTGTTGACTGTCGCAGGTGTTACGTAACCGTTGTCGGCGAAGTAGTAGAAGGTTTCGGCGTTGACACTTTCGCGAGGGTTGTCTTCGTCCATGGGAACGTCGACGGAGCAAAACGGAAGAGGTCCGGCTTCTTCTGATGCGTTGTCAACATTTTGCTCGTCCCAGTCAGCTTCGTCTGCTGCCGAGGCGAAGGCTCGGTCACCACGAAAGCCACCTGTGGGATCTTGGTCTTCTTGCAGGTTGGCAAGGTATGTCTGGAGCGTGAGTCGTTCGTAGAAAATGACATCACGTGCTGCTACTGTTTCCTTGGAGTGGATGTCGAAGATTTTCCACGCGTTGTAGTTCTTTTCGATGCCCAGGTGTAATCCCCACTGTGCGCGTTGAGAAAATCTTCCCGCTCGTGCTGCCGGGGGTCGGCACTGTACCATGCATCCGAACACTCGTAACATTTTTGTGCTGCCCTGTTTTCCTGTCCACAGCAGATGCGGTGATGCGTTGTTCGGAAGTGATGTTGATGAGAGCAAGTTGTGCAGCATGACAGCGTGGTCCATCGCGTCAGGCCACTGGTGGTTGGGTAACCGCATGCCACGTAATAGCTTGTGCATGCTGTTCTGCAGGGTCCTGTTCATTCTTTCTGCTACACCTTGCTGCTGATGGGCGTAGGGAAGGGAGATGAGCCGCTTGATTCCCCTTTCCGCCAGGTACTGCTTGAATCGCTGAGAGGTGTATTCTCCTCCTCCGTCTGACTGGAAGCTTTTCAGCTTCACGCCCGATTCTCTCTCTGCTACTGGTAGCCAGGCAACGAAGGCTTCGAAGGCCATGTCGCGGCTAGGGAGGTTTAGGTGCCAGACGTAGCGGGTGGCGGCGTCGATGAAGGTGATCGTATAATTGTATGCTCCTTGTCCTGGTTCCCGATTGTACAGGATGTCGCTGTACACTTTCTCGAGTGGTGCGTAAGCAGGTGCGCTCGGGTTGTGATGAGAAGTGAACGGCCGATGTGGTAAGTCGGCCTCGGGGCAGGTAAGGCATGTTCCTCGTGCCCGTTGAAGCTCTCTGCCGTCGAGTAGTAGTAACGAGTCCTTGTCAAGGACTCCTGCTCTTATTGTATTATTTAACACTGTGTTGCTTGGGTGTCCCATGCGTGCGTGCCAGATGTCTTCGGAGGCACGGTGTCCGGGTGAGCGTCGGTACGCGTCGGAGTTGGAGTAGAAGCCGGCGGTGAAGTTTGCGCTTCTGTGGACTTCTCGTTGAGCCGGATTCAGCTGCTGCGTGGGTGTCGGTGGTGTTTCGTCAACGAGGACTGGTGTCGTTGAAGGACCAGCGATCGGTGTCATTGTTACTGCTTCTGCCGTTGTTGTTCCTGCTGCTGCCGATGATGTTTCTGCTGCTGCCGATGTTGTCTCTGCTGCTGCCGATGTTGTCTCTGCTGCTGCCGATGTTGTCTCTGCTGCTGCCGATGTTGTCTCTGCTGCTGCCGATGTTGTCTCTGCTGCTGCCGATGTTGTCTCTGCTGCTGCCGAGTGTTGAATTGTTACTAACGCACGTGTTCGTTCTGCTTCAGGGATGGTATGTGAATACCAGAAGCCTTCCGGACTGAAATCGGGGTCGAGATCCGGCGGGTGCGTCCAAGATGTGAAGGTGACGATCCCGTCACTGTCCGCGGTGCCCAGGTCTGGGACAAAATCAAGAACGAAGACATTGTTCTTCAGGATTGCCTTTCCGATGTAGAGGCCGCCCTTTCCGTGGTACAGCTTAAACTCCTGAGTGGTGCTGTCGGCTTCGAGATGTATCCCCTTCGCCATCAGTTGACTGACGCTCAGTAAGTTGTAGCCGAGTCCTTCTGCTATTAGAACCTTCGAC